AACCTAAAAATCCTACAGACATTCTTCACCAGTGCCTTTATGATTGATCCCTCTGCTAATTTTCCATTATTTTTTACCTCCTCCCCACACCTAATTTTTAAATTGAAAAAGGAGTTTCCCTTACTGTTTTTGTTACATCAAATGCACTTTACAGCCCTTTGGGGGAAGAAATAGTCTTCAAAACGTAACCCGAGATGCTGCAGGTATTTTGGAATCTGCAGACAGAGCAGCACCCAGTGTAATTTTCCCTCTTCCTTTCAACAGGTTGTTAACACAGCAGGTTAAATATTGTTACCACGTTTAAATGCTAACACTATTAACCAAGACACTGCTGATATTCTATCCATTTAGCCAGGGATGCTGGATTCACCTGCGCTGGATTTGAAAGAAATGGTACAGGGGAATAAGGCTGCAGATTTTCACTGTGAAAACACCTGATTATATAATGACAGGTTTCAGAGTAGCAGCCCTGTTAGTCTGTATTCGCAAAAAGAAAAGGAGGACTTGTGGCACCTTAGAGACAAACCAATTTATTTGAGCATAAACTTTCATGAGCTACAGCTCACTTCATCGGATGCATTCAGTGGAAAATGCACTGAATGCATCCGATGAAGTGAGCTGTAGCCCAGGAGAGCTTATGCTCAGATAAATTTGTTAGTCTCTAAAGTGCCACAAGTCCTCCTTTTCTTTTTGATTATCTAATGAGTATATAGAGATTAAGCATTTCAGGGACCATAAACGCTCAGTGGGAGGGGAAGATACTCAGTACCTGTCAGAATTAGGTCCATTGGTGAGATCTCTACAGCATTTATAACTGTTTACAGTTTAATTTGTTAATCCGATTTCTCCTATTTCCAAAGCACCAGCCCTCACTGACAATGTGCTGAACCCTGTGACATCAGCGTGAATCCGGAGTAGTCAAGGGGTTCCTAAAGGGACATGCTGGCCTGTCTGAGATCAGAATCTGTGCTTCTTTTCAGAGTAAGTTTGAAGTTTAAAAGCATATCCCAGCACAAGCAAAATGTCTTAGTTGTGTGCAAGGAAAGCATTTGCCCCTCCACCTTTGCCTAAGAACCAATTTTACGGAGTTATTTTGTTTGTTTGGGGGACTTGGGGGGGGGGGGGCGGTGAGACGGAGCGTGAGAAATGGCAGCCCCCAGGAAAGATGAAAAGCTGCCGGTCAAGTTTTCCCTTTCAGTTTGATACTGTCCCCTCAGGTCTGGGACATGCCAGTGTGATGGGGGCAGTTTCAGCACCCCCCCCCCACGCTCGGGGGTAATTTTTCCGCCTTCCTCCCTTGCATAAGCCTGGCTCCCTATCCCTCTTCTACAAGAAAAAGGGAAGATTCCCCTCCACCCCCAAAACTAGAGCGCTGGGAACCTCGGTGTGAGTTGAACCCCCTGTAAGCTGAACAATATTTTGGGAGGAAAAGAAATATTGTGTCTGGAAGGAAGAAAAGGACACCCAGGGGACACACACAGGTAGGCCAGTCAGTGTTCACTCCGGAGAGCGCCCTCCATTGAACTCAAAATGAGTTCTGCTTAAAAATTAACAGCAGGGCCCGGCCTGGAGCAGAGAGGGGACTAGCCGGTTCTCTACGCCGGCAAAGCCAAAAATTGCTGCCAAGGAAAGCCTCGGATACAGGGGGATCCACGGCTTGTGAAGATCCACTTATAACGGGGCAGAATTAGCGGGGTTAGGTAGTTCCGAGCTCGGGCACGCAGCTGTAATCCCATGGCTCGCAGCGGAGTTTCATCTTTTTACACTAGATCTGAATTGGGTCTAAGGTCCTCACGGGTGTGATTACACGCGCTCTGGTTTCGAAGGGAGCCGTTCTTGCGGGAGGACTCCGCACTCTTTCATCGCAAAAGGGCTTGTGCGGTTCTGCCCGCGGGCGATAGAAAAACCATCCTGATTTCGCACAGCTTGTTTGCTCCCAGCAGAGATGAGAGCTGCAGCCCAGCCCGCCTGGCCTTGTCTGTCCCCTAATCACCGATCCAGGAGCTCCAGGGCCTGGGTTACAAAGGCGAGGACAGGGCTGCTCTCTCCTTGCAAGAATGCTTCCACCCCAATGGTGGGGTGACACACTGCGGGTTCCCTTCCCCAGGGCCCCCCCTTTCAAAGCCAGCAGCGATGGGTAGGGAGAGCGCTCGGAAAAGGAGAGGGTACAGGAGGGAAAGGGGGGTGTCTGCGTTTAGAAGCAGATGCGTCAGGTTTTCCAAGCTGAAAAGCTCCCCCCCCCCGCCCCCTTTCTGACTCATGCATTTTGTGCAAAACATTTTAATAGCACGTGTGGGTGCAAAGTGTTTTAGGGGCCGCAGGCTGCAGGGGAAGAGAGATCGTCCCTCGGCAGACAGCTGAGGGCGGTGGGGCCTGGGGGCAGATTGGCGCCCACTCTCGTTTTGTCTGGTGTACTTTCCCTTGCCTGCGCTGCTCCAGAAACAAGCACAAAACAGAGGAGGCTCAGGTGGTGCGAGGGGGAGCTGGGCCCCAAGGAGAGGGGTAATAAAATAATAAATAAATCCCCTTTTCTTAAAAGAGTTATTACCATCAGGCGGCCTGGTTTCTTTAATCGAGCGCGGAGAGGGTGTTGCCCCAGGAGGGGAAAAAGAAAAAAAAAAACCAACCTCCTTCAGCACCAGCCCCGGGAAGGAAGGCGCAAGGGGCCGCTGAGTTTAGGCGACATCTCAGTATAAAGCAGGTGTCTCCTATTTAAAAATAAACCCGTGCGCTCCTTACCAGGGAGCCCCCCAAACGCGGGGGGAACCCCGCGACCTTGACCAGAGCGCTGCAGCCCCTTCTGGCCCCGAGCAGAGCCAGGGCCCCGCGCTCCTCTTGCGACAGGAGGGTTTAAAAGACTTCGGTCGGTGACCAGGCAAACTCTGGCGGCAGGGAAAAGTCTGAAATGAATTACCGAGCCTCCTCGTGAGACTCGTACTTCTTGAGTTGGGTGGGAAATTACCGCTAGTGGGTAAAATGCAGCTTGGAAGGGGAAACGCTCTTCACAGCTTTTTGTTTGAGGGGCGAGGGGAAATATTTTAACCTTACTCCTGAGCCATGCAGCGAAGCCCAGAGAAAGTGGAGTTTAGCGCTCTGTGATCGTCACAAAAGGAGACCCCCTTTTTCCAAACTCCTTCTTTCCCTTAGGAAAGCCACCTAGAGACTGGCGATGAGTCAAAATTAAGAGGCTGATAAATACCGGGCTCGAACCAGCCTCGTGTAAACGCCAGGATTCGGGTTTTTCCAACAGCTTTGGCTAATAAAACTCTCTCACGCAGAAGAGCGAAGTAGGCACAGCAAGGTTGGCGTAAAACAGACTCAAGCCACGTGAGATATTTTGTTTTCCCACTGCTCTGAGACATACAGAGTAACAGGTGCCAAACGCGAAAGGAGCAGAAAATGAGTTTACGCAACATCACTTAAATTAAAAAACAAAAAACAAACACCCACACAAAGATTGGGTATTAATTTGATAAAGCCCCAGGAGTGAATTACTGTGCGAACGAAATGGCGTTAATTCGGTTTTCAAAAACACACGGAGTCGGCAGGACAGCTCGATTTACACACAAACCGTGCTCCTATCATTTCAAAACGACTTTAAGGAGGAGCTAACTGCTGTATTTTTAGGATAAACGAAGTGGGAACCGGTTAACTGTTCCGCGAACCCTACCGCCAAGACCGTGCTGGATTTTGGTGCAGACTAAAAACACGAGAACCGCCCGCTCGAAAAGATGACAGGATTTTGAATACAATCGAATAAAGATTTCTCCCAGCTGAAGAGAGCTCAGCCCACCTTTCCTGGGTGCACAGGCCCCCCCAGACAGAATTTAAAGCGGCACCTTTCAGCCGCAGCCCGCAGCCGGCCAGCTAGGAACGCGAAACGCCTCTTTGGAGAGTCAACAAGTGGCTCCTACTTTTAAAAGGAAGCGAGGGGCGGTGAGTATATAAATCGCCACCCGCTCTGCTTCCTAAACCCTATTCCCCTCCCCGGCACGAGAAACTAAACCCAAGGGGCCCACTCTTCCCCCCCCCAAAAAAAAAAAAAACACAGCGCCTGGTTGAGGAGAGATCGGGACTGCCAGAGGCGAGGGGCAGGGTTTAAAGCATTCGCTTTAAGCGTTCACCGGGCCGGGAAGCGGACTTCAGCCTTCACACGGCCCTGTTGAGTTCTGCGCGTCAAACCCCGGTCTAGACCTCACCGCGCTGTTTTCTAGCCCCGCCGTTTACATGTGTCCCAAGTAACATGCTGGAGGACGGCACTTACTCGGAGAGTTTGAGCAGGGCACCGTGGGGCTGCACCCCCCCCCCCCAACGTACAAATCGCCAGGAGACAAGGGAGGTGCCCGTTATAAAATTTATTGATCTCTCTTATTCGGGGTGGGGGAGAAGGAGCGTTTCACAGGCTAAAGTCTTTTAAGAAACCGGAGAGACAAACTAAAGCGTTTCTGGCGTGGTAGGGTCAAAACGGCGTCACAGTGAAATTCACAAACCGAGTTACAGAAGTTTATAAGCTTGGGGGGGGGGGGGGAGAAGGAGAAGGACCACACACAACCCAAACACACAACTTACTATAAGTTAAAAAAAAGACTTTGCATTAGTGAGCCGCCCAGCTTTCCCCCCCTCTTCTTCGAGGTCGTGGAAGCTACACGATTCGGATTAAACCTGGAGCAGGACACGGGGGAGAGGGACACTCATTTTGTTTAAAAAAAAAAAAAGGCGACAAACAAAAATGTAAACATCTGAGCTGGAAGAAAAGCCCGCCACGTTTCCATTCCACCGCTACACTCAAACTGAAATAGACCAGACCTTTAAAACGGCTTTTGCAAAAAAAAAATTTTTAAAAAAAGAATAGAAGAGAGAGAGAGCGCCAACCTATCAGAAACCAGGAAAGAAGTGGCTGCGGTTTTAAAACTTCCCAGGAGACATTTGTGCTCTGTTAGAGAAAACCAGTCCACACACCCTCCCTCCCCCCCCCCCACACACACCCCATTTCTTTTTGTACAAAAAACACACGCGACATCGAACCTTCCTTTTAAAAAGTCTTCCCGGGGAGGTGCATTGAGTCCCAGTCTGCTCAAGCGAGCAGCCAGCTGTCCCAGGAGCGGGGTGAGGTTGGGTTGACGGCAGAGCAGTCTCAGATGTGAGTCAGCGGTACAGTGCCATTGACCCCAGTCCCGGCACTCTGGTAGTGCTGGTGGACACTGTGCAACCGACTGCCCTGCAGGCTGGAAGGGTCTGTGGCATCCCCCCCCGGGCGGGAGATACATGCTGATCATATCCCGCAGGTCCCCCAGGCAGGCCCGCTGGGAGTGGGAGGCGAGGGCCGGCGGCGGCGAGCTGGGCTCGGATTTCACCACCGAGCCCATGGAGCCCAGGCTCATGGCCGTGCCGGGCTGCTGGCCGTAGGCGGCGGGCGACATGCTGTAGGTGGAAGCCGCGCTCATGTAGGACTGCGCTGTGGACATCATGGGGCTGTACTGCAGGCCGCTCATGTCATAGCGGTGCATCTGCGGCAGCTGGGGGCTGTTCATGGCCGGATGCTGCCCGTAGCTGAGCTGCTCCGGCATCAGCGAGTACGCCCCGTTGCTCCAGCCGTTCATGTGGGCGTAGGTGTCCAGGCGCTGGCCCACCCCGACGGGGCTGCTGACGGCGCCGGCCCCGCCGGGGGCCAGCAGGTTGCCGGGCAGCGAGTACTTGTCCTTCTTCAGCAGGGTCTTGGTCTTCCGGCGGGGCCGGTATTTGTAATCCGGATACTCCTTCATGTGCACGGCCCGCAGCCGCTTGGCCTCGTCGATGAAGGGCCGCTTCTCGGCGTCGCTCAGCAGCTTCCAGTCGGCCCCGAGGCGCTTGCTGATCTCCGAGTTGTGCATCTTGGGGTTCTCCTGGGCCATCTTCCGCCGCTGGCCCCGCGACCACACCATGAAGGCGTTCATGGGCCGCTTCACCCGGTCCTGGTCCGCCCCGGCTCCGCCGCTCGCTCCCCCGCCGCCGCCGCCGCCCTTGCCCGCAGCCCCCGCCGGGCCCCCCGGGGCGGGCTGGGGGCTCTTGAGCTCGCCCTCCAGCATGCTGTACATGGCCGGGGCCGGCAGCAGGTGCGCCAGCGTGGCGGGCAGGTGAGGTCGGGGAACCGGGCGGCTGCGAGGTGCGGCTCCCCCCCTCCTCGGGCTCGCGGGCTGCAGCAAGCGGCCAAACTCGGGGCTCGCCGGGCGCTTCCCCCCCTCTGGCTGCCTCCTCGGTGCGCTCCCAGTGCTGGGGGGAGATGATTGACGGCCTATAAATGAGCAGCCGGCAGCCAATCAGCGCGCGGCTCCCGACAGGCCCTGACGGATGCTAATTGACCAGCTGGTTTAAAAAAAAAAAAAAAAAGTTGGCAATTTAGGGGGCTCCGGTTCGCACCGCCCCCCCCCCCCGCGCCTGGCGCTCCACCCCCCCCCCCCCCGGAAACCAGGGGGTGCGGCCCCTCCCCCCACGTTACCCCCTGCGGATCTTGGGGAGGGGGCAACTTTTGGTCGGGTTTGTTTTAGATTCACCCCCCCCCCCAGGCAGGGGCATCCCGCTGCAAACCGCCCCCTGCTCGCTGCTGGTTGCGGGGCGCGGGCCGCACAAGGGGGTGTCCTGCTGGGGGAGGCGGGCGGGGCTTGAACCTCAGCTGCCCGCGGCGGGGGCTGTTCGGGGCGGCGGGGTCCCTGGGCTCCGTGCGTGTGCGGGGCACAAAGGGGGTCGCGATGGCGGGGAAGCGGAGCTGCTTTTCCACCCCACTTCGCCTGCCCAGCCCAGTGCCTGGGGAGCGAGCAGCCCCGGAATGACCCGGGCTGGGGGTGGGGGGTGCCGCAGCGGAGCTAAGCTCACCCCCCCGCCGCGCCGTTGATGGGGGATCCAGGGCAGGGGCGACCCCAGCTCTCCCTAGGGAAGGGGATCCCACTCCCCTGCTCTCCCCCGGACATCTTGAAGGGTGGCGGCGGATCCTGGCTCTCCGATCAAAGGGAGGGGGTGCTGCAATTCCCCTTACGCTACAAATGCAACCCCCCCCCCCGTCGCAAGGCTCTTTGTTGTTCGGGTTACACAAGGACACATCAGCCCCACTCTGAAGCCCAGTGATGGCCCCAGCATGGCTTGCCAAGCTGGGGGGGGGGGGGGCTGGTTGTCTGGGTTCTGACCGGACTCCCGGTAGCTCGGAAGTGGGGTGCATGACGGGGTGGGGGGCTAACCTGGCATGCACTTCCCAGCCCCCCACCTCCTTTCCTTTCTTTGCCACTTTACTTTTTCCAGTTGGCTGCCCCCCCCGGGGGGGGGAGGGGCGCTTGCCAAAATCCGTTTTCATGGCAACAGCAAAGTCCCCTTGGAGTGAAAGGAAACTTTGTGGGGGAGGCTCGCGGGGGCTGTCAATCAAAGGGCTTTCCTCCACCGCCCCCTTTCTCTCTTTCTCTCCCCCCCTCCCCCCAGCACCCACACCTGCGAGGACAGTTCGGGTCAGGAGCTTCTTAAAGGCATAGCGCTCCTGCAGCCGCCTCAGCGCTCCCTCCGGCCCCCTACCTCACAAGGGGGCGGGGGGGGGGGAATCAGAGCCGTGCTCCTCTGCTGTGTGACCGCATCCTCCCCGCCCCCCTTCGTCCCCTGCATCCCCCAGTTTGCTTTGCTCAAACCCAGAACAAGAAACAAAACCCAAGGGCTACACGGGGGAGGCGGAGGGATGAGCTGTGCACGCAGTGTGAACAAGAGCTTTCAACGGCGGGTTGAGACCCTAAAGAGTTTGTTCTCAGCTGCGCCCAGGGGGGGAGCGGGGGGATCACTGCGGATTGACGTCGGTGTGTGAACAAACTGCGGCGTGGGCGCCGGGAACCACTCTACCGGGGGAGGAGTGGCTAAAAAACGACTGGCACTTAAAGATCGTCTGACCCGAGCGCCGTTACCCCGAGGAGATGCACCGCGCACCCGGTTTCTTGTTGTAAAAGAGAGACAATAAAGATAATGATGCTAATTCACAAGGAAGAGGGGACCTCCCCGGGTCAGTGTCCTGGTTCGCACTGAAGCCCTGGGATATACGCATATTAAATACATAAATTACCAAAGCACCGTAGTCCTCAAGCTCGCTTCGCGCCGCGAAAGAAACCAGAGCCAGTTCACTTTCGCAGGAACCCCGCGCAGTGAGCAGCCAGCCCCGGAGCGCCAGAAAACCCGCCACCTGACTCCCTGAGCACAGCCGACAAACGCAGTCTGCCAGCCCCGCCACCGCTCGCCGCTTCTACCGGTGGGGGAACAAAACGATGTAACTTTAAAACCCAATAAAGAAAACTTCCACTTTGATATTGGTGAATGGTGCCCAGGTTGGATTTGCAGACTCAGTGGGATCTAAACTGTTTGTGTATTTGGTAATCCAGTAAGTGTTATTCTGTTCTGGCAAATGATCATCTGTTGGAGGGTGGAAAATCGACGTGGAAACAAACACTGCTTATGCTTTTCCACTGCGTGCATCCCATGAAGTGAGCTGTAGCTCAGGAAAGCTTATGCTCAAATAAATTGGTTAGTCTCTAAGGTGCCACAAGTCCTCCTGTTCTTTTTACTTATGCTATGGGGGAATTAACCTTTGGTTGGTTGTTTTGAAAAATATGACTCCCGAAATATAACCTCCTTAAAGGACATGATCATATCTACATATTTTAGCTCTATAAAGATATTATTTCAAGCACATTTTCCCCACGTTTGGCAACAGATTTGACAGCTGTAATCCCCTTGATTTTAATCAATAGTGCCAAATATTTTGATTAGTCAACTACAGATCTAAAATATGACCGGCTCTGATGTGAGAACGATTCTCGGGTGTTTACACTTCTGTGCTTTGAATAATCGTTTAAACAAATTAAAATGAACTCTGGTTAGTTAGCTATTTAGTCCTGCCAACAACTGTGTGTTTTAATGATCTTGACTATATGTATGCAACGAATAATCAGTAAGTAGTTGAAATTATAGGAACATTGTATGAAAGCTCTTTTGTTTGAATGGCGAAAAGTGAGCCCGATGAAAACTGGCAACAATTTTAAATTTCAGATTTAACTTCATCCTGTATTTTACTTTGCCCTGTGCCAGGGTGAGACCAAAGTGAAATCAATGGTATTTAAACAATTGTATCCAAAGATAGACAACAACCGGTGCCACCCTTACTCTGCAGATTATTTCAAAGAAAGGCAATGTTTTCCAGGAGACATCACCTGTCTTTTCTGTCCTAACAATAAAAAGGCGGATTTAGAAAGTAAATATCATTCTGATCTATCCCGTTCTTCTTTTCATGTGACTGAAAATATTTCCCCCTGCCAAGCTGTTATCACAGGTGACTCCTGTCTGATTCTTAATGCCAGAAGATCGGGTGACTATTTGAAAAGAAACTTCGCAATGCCCCATGGCAAGGAATAGCTGGGGTGGCCAATCTCGGAATTAGCGACGAATGCGCTGTAAAATTAGCGGAGTAATCCCATTCCCTTCCCGTCTCTGAGCTGCAGATTATAAAACGAGGGAAGAAGAGAGACAGAAAGCAGCGGTTAGGAATCAGATGGGCTCTGCCAGTCCTTTTGACACCAATGCACTTTACTGGTGACCTGAGAGCGGCGCCCGGCACAGCGGCGGGACAAAGCGCCAGGTCCGGCCGGCCCCAGTACCACCCCGAACTGGGCCCTGCCCACTCTCCAGCCAGGCTGCCTCCCCGGTGTCGCCCCTTCTGGGCCTCAACCGGCAACACGGTCTCGGCCCTTCCCCCAACCCCACCCGCGTCCGTTCAGTGAAGGGGACAGGACCCCCGCATAGTCACCCCTCATGTTTGCAGGTAGAAGCGGGTCCGAATAACGGCCCCGATCCTGAAAGCGGTCCCCACTGGCTCCAGCGGGACTCCACGCGCTCAAGCACGTGCTTACATCCTAGCAGGATCGGGACCCGCGCTTGGTCAATGGCGAGAGTGAATATGCGGGGGTGGGTGGGGATAATCCAGGGCTACAGAGAGGAAAGGTGTTAAACTTGGACTGTCACGAGAACCACAGGACCGGATCCACGCTGCTTTTTAAATCGCTCTTCAGAGCGCTTTAAAAGGCCCAAACCCTGCCCTCCCCTCTGTCCCCCCGCAAGGAAAGGAAAAGGAGGCGTTCAGCCAAAAGCTACGGCAAGACCCAAACGTTAGTCTGCCTGCAGCGATATGCGCAGAACAAGCCGTTAGCCACTCTGGACCGGATTCAGTCCCCATCTCCCGAGCTTCCTGCAACCGATCTGCCTTCTTGATTTCTCTCCTCCCCGAGCTCTGCTCGGGGATCGAACCCCTTGACTGCCCCAGCCGCGGGGTTTGGGAACGAAGCGAAGACCCCGTAGGAATTCGTCCACCACGAAGTTTCTGTAAAGTTGACCACGCCGCAACTACAGTGGGTCTAGTCACTAGTTACAACTACGCAGCACCCAGTGGGTCTAGTCAGTGGCGAAGGAGGGAGGGAGCTGAAAACATTGTTAATAAAAAGAAAAGGAGTACTTGTGGCACCTTAGAGACTAACCAATTTATTTGAGCATGAGCTTTCGTGAGCCACAGCTCACTTCACTCACTGATGAAGTGAGCTGTGGCTCACGAAAGCTCATGCTCAAATAAATTGGTTAGTCTCTAAGGTGCCACAAGTACTCCTTTTCTTTTTGCGAATACAGACTAACACGGCTGTTCCTCTGAAAATTGTTAATAAAGTCTCTTTGAGCCGAAGCTTTATGCTCAAATAAACCTGTTAGTTTTTAAGGTGCCACCTGACTCCTTGTTGTTTTTGTGGATACAGACTAACCTGGCTATCCCTGATCTTTGAGCCGGGAATGCTGCAGATCAAGAAGACCAGACAAGGTTTATAGCAGAGAGCCCTTTAATTCGTCAGCATATAGATTGACCACTGGGTAACGCTGAGAATCCCCCTAGCAAGGTGCAGGGTGGGCTCAGAACAAGCAAAGCGCTTTGGCCGGTGTAAACACACTCGTCAAAAGCGGAGCAGCGCGCGGCCCTGGTGGGGGCGAAATCACTCCTACATCAACGCCAAACTTTTAACGAGATCCAAAGACCCACATGTGGGGATGCACGTGTCAACATGACTTTGTCCGTTTCACACCAATCACAGGCGTCACCCGCAGTGTTCTTGTAGCGTGTTAGTCCCGGATATTAGAGAGA